CTTTCTATTTGGTCTCTGAGAAACTTTTTCTTAAAAAACCAAGGTTCTCGGAAGCAGTTTGAGAACGTAATTATAGAGTGATAAGTTGATCCAGAGCTGAATTTTGTTTTGTTCGAGTTCATCGACCTGTATGTTCTTCTTGACTTTTATTTATTATTTTTGGCTTACTTTCTCTGGCTGTCCGTTTTAGATTCGTATATTTCAGTTTATTAATTCATTTCATTTGTTTTTACAATGCCAAAACGAGGTCGGCGTCAGACCCAGTCAGCTGAAATCGGGAAAAAGCGTTGGACAATTGAAGATTTTCTCCAAATGGACAGCAGTGACGATGATAATGTTATTGGCGATGAAAAAAATATCGATTGGACACATGAAGATATATTAAGCCATGTTGGCGATTTATTTCAATTGTGCAATAACCAGTGCAGTTTTAGAATGTTAAGTACATTATTATATATAACATTGAGACATTTCAATATTACCTGGCGAGCAATTGATAATTTTATGTCAGCTGTTGGTGGTATGAGGTGTGTGGCAGCTCAATAATGGGCCGAGATTTTCTTAACGGGTGATTTTGAAATGTTTGTGAAAGACGAGCGTGGTGGCAAACAAGGCGAATCATTCTTTGATGTTCATCCAGAACTGGAGATTGCAGTTAAGTTATATGTAGCTGAAGCTTGCTCACAAAAATCAGTCGTCTTCAAAGCGCTTGATCTTGCAAATTATATTGACTCACAATACTATGAACTTACAAATACGAATAAAAGCAACAATGAATTGATTAGATCCGAACGAATGTGTCGGTTGGATTTGAGACGGTGCGGATGTAAATTCGAGTCGAATACACAGCGACCATACTTTCAGGGCCATGACAGAGCAGATGTTTTGGCATACAGAAAAGAATTTCTTAGTTATTTTTTGTCAAGAAAGAACAATTATTATCTTGTTAATATTGGTGATCAGCCGGTATGGTCTGTTCCAACGCAACAACCAAGGATACTTATTTGTAGGTTCGAATATCAAATTTACAAGGCATTTTGCATTATGTCTCCTGTTTTCCGTCGCTGTCTAGGTCACGATTAGTTAACGTTCGATAATGCGAGAGCTCACACGGCACGTCAATACAGTAATTCGGTAAAAATATTAATACCAGATGTTCAGTTGATCATATTGAATTTTCTGATAAAAATGGTGTGAAACAATCGATACATTGCTATATTGAACGTGGATCAAATAAGAATAAGAGTAAGGGGCTACTGAAGATAACCAAAGAATTAAATGTCCCAGTACCACCGAAATGCAAACTGGATCAATTATGTAATTTACTGGGCCAACATCCGGCATTTCAAAATGTGAGTGGCTTAGTGCTTCGTTTGTTACGTAACGCCTATGTTATTGTGTTTGTTTAGAAAACAAAACTGGAAATTCTGGCTGAAAAATATAAAATAAATATCGTTTATTGCCCGAGGTTCCACTGTGAGTTAAATCCGATCGAGGGGTCCTGGTGCAGTATGAAAATGTATGTACGAAAACGAACTGATCAACGGTATGATACCATGTTATCATTGATCGACCAATCCAGAGCACATTTCATCAATATCGAGTTGTATAAAAAATTATTCAGGCGTTTCTGGAAATCTTGTGAAGTATACCAAAACAGTCGTACAGTGATGTATTAAAACTATTCTTTGGTAGTCTATGCAAAGAACACGTGACTTCTCATAGAAAAATTACTAATACGAACATTGATATTGATGATGAAGATGACTAAACAACGGTTCATTATTTTGTTTGTTTGTTCATTTTCTTTTTTACAAAAACGAATTAGAAAA